GGTTAGGTAGGTAGGAGAGAGAGAGAGAGAGAGAGAGAGAGAGAGAGAGAGAGAGAGAGAGAGAGAGAGAGAAAGAGAGAATCGTGAGAAGGTATTTAACACTTAGGAAGCTGTGAGGCCATCCGCCGGATACTGTGAAATCATCCGATGGTACGTGTTTTTATTCTTTCTCTTCTCCTTAAGTTTACTTTCAGTAAGTCCTTTTCCTTGGGACTTCTGCGCCGGAGTTCATTACCGGGAGTGGTTGGTGCGCAGCACATTGTGTGCTTTTGTTTTTGGATCGTGTGATATTGAAACTGTTGATTTGCGTAGCGTTCGAATGTATAAAATACGAAGAATTGATTAGAATTGCGATGCAAGGAGTGTAACTTAAATATTCGTTCGGTTGTAGTTTAGTTGAATATAATTTTATTTCTAGAATTATTAATTTCTTCGCGATATTTCGCGTGAAATAGAGAAAGATCGAAGAGTTAGTCTTAGATCGTTTCCAACGATGAGAAATATATTGGAAGTGTTGGAAACATAGTTCTCCTTCATTCTTCTAGATTATTATAGCGTTGTATATCGTTATTTGTGATAGAACATTTCGAAATATTTGGAATATTTGAATTAAAAGTTGGAAACGCAGTATATAATAGTATATCGTAGATTTTTTAAAGTTTAAGCTTGGATGTTTTTAAATTGTTTTTTCCCCCTACGGTAATATTGTGCCAAAGTAAATTTAACGAGTAGTTATAATTCCGAATATAAGTTTATCTTAATTTAATTTAGCTTTACGTATAGAATCAACGCGATGTGAAAAGAGTCGGTAAACTTGGATATTATTAAATTCGCAAATTGGCATTAATTTAAAAAAATAGAAAGAAAATGAAATTCTTGTACATTCGAGTATATATTGCTCTCATTTACAAATAGTAAAGCGATGTACGGACTATTTCTTTATGTTCATCGCGTGTAAAATTAGTCGCAAGGGACGTATGAGGATCGAAATAGGTTTATGACACGATAAAATGCATGGTAAACACAATTATTAAGGATCAATTTCATTTTGCTATTAATTTTTTTTTTTATATATATTCTAAATTTATTAAATTTCCAATTAATTTCTAGTTGGTAGCTATGTTTTATAAACATCATTTTATGCTTATTAATAAATTAATAGTAAAGATAAGGGTGACATCCATGAGATAGAGTACAATAGGAAGGTATTAATACGGTTGATAAATATTCATTATT